ACTTACCAGATTAAAAACAACGGGAAAGCCCACATGCTCCACGCGCTCATTTGTATTGGTGCCATGTTTAGTCAGTGGCTTTTGTAAAATTGATGAATTTTGTCTAAAGGCAAGTGCAGACAGGCAAACAGATCTGTATCTGCTGTTATCCATTTAGCTTGACACACATGTGCAGAGGAACTATTTTACCTCGATTCTTGCAGGACTGATGAAGAGTAAATGCAAGCAAAGTCACGAACTGCACCATCGAAAAAGAATCACCGAATCTCAAGCTGGAAGTTAATTAATGCTTCCCTCCCCTTGAAATAGACTCACCCTGGTACTTAGACATTCAGAGTCAATAAACAATTGTTGTACACAGATCATCCATTAGAAGGTGATGGCAAGAATTTTTTAAGCAAATCTAAAATTGTAATGGGTGACCTAATCCCGCTGTAATAATGGGAGTGCCGAAGAACCATTTTTCATAGTATCTCATTTATAAAAAGGTCCATGCTGTCAGCTAGAAACAAGTGGAAGCTGTGAGGAGCAAATGGGGTAATACGAGATGGTAACATATTATTTTGGTACTTAGTACGCGATATGATATGAATCACTTGACATGCATGATCGCGGTGACCGTACAGTCCAACGAGCCAGGTGTCATCATCCTTCCCGTTACATAAACAAAGACCGGAGCACAGAGAGGTCAAGTGATCTGCCCGAGTCACAAAGCTACAACTGTTGTCCCAGGAAACTGGGCTAACAATCCTCAGACCCGCGTGTGCCAGGCACTGCCGGAGGCATGTTCTGTGCGCGTTAACCCGTGTCATCTTCGCGACGACCTTAGGTGGAAGCTATGTTACTATTATTCCTATTTTGCGGACAAGAAAACAAAGGTTTGAAAGGGTGGGTAAACTTAGGGTCACACGCGGAACCGGCTCTGCAGCGAGAAGCCTTTACTGCCACCCAGGAATCATACGATTATGAAATCCGCTCCATGGCAGCAGGGATGACAGAGCAGGGGTGCAGAGGGGACCGATCGTAGGAGGAAGACCTGGGTATGACACCTGGAAGAATGTCTTGCCTCCGACAGCAGCTGGGACTGATGGCTGAAGAATGATGGGGCAATGCCATTCGGAGCCAGGCTTGGACTCTGGGTCTCGGGCCACTCACGCTTTCCCCGTGTGCGTAGAGAGAAACGGGAAACGAACCTTTCAGACGCTTTCCTGGAGTTCCCAACCAGCCTGGGACTCGATCGGGGTCTCTCAGGTGACAGAGAGAGCCAGGTGTACTCGTTTTCCTGACAGCCACTGACGCCCACCTCCTAGACACAGCAGCAGGTGCAGGTGGCCTGGCTGTCCTGCAGGAAGTCATCACGGGCCGCCTCCCCTGCTGGCCCCCTTCCCCACCCGGCCTCTGCGGCCGCCATCACCACAGCGCTCCCGGGCCTCCCCTCCCCCTTTATGGTTGTCAAATTGATTTCACCACCGCGATACCTATGGCTCCCAATGAAGCATAATTAAAAACACCATTTAATCACCCAGGAACAAAGGCAAACTGGGTAAGTGGCATTGCCACGTCAGCACATTTTAATTCACACCGCTCCTCTCCTCAGCCCGTTTGCAGAATTGCCTTTTCAAGTGAGAGTCCCCCGGCTGCCACGCACTTGCCTGTGACAGAGCTCCAAAGTAAACAGCATTTAGTGTGGCGTGGGTCCAAACGTATGCCCTTTGCCCAGTGGTAAAATCAGCCTTAACTAGAGCAGTGAAAAATGAATACATAATAAGTCGCTATAGAAAATACCGTCCCTCAACACACGCCCAAAATCTCCTTTTGAATGTGGGGTGTCCATTCAGTAGGGCCTGTGGAATCTCGTCGCTGGCATCCTTCGATTCAGTTAGTGACGGATTTAGCAGCTCATTATTAAAACTGTGTCATGAGCGATGCTGTGCCCCTGCTCTCAACTGCCCAGCCAAGTCCCCTGGGCTGAAGCAACGCGGAACATGGGAGCGGGTGCGGCATGGAGCGGGCCGGCAAGGTGCTACCGCGTGCACTCGGGGGGCCCCAGGACGACGGGCAGTCCCCGTGAGAATGCTAGGCCTTGGGACGGGGCCATCTGCCCCCCCCAGACCCTCTAAAGCACGAGGGCGTCGTACTGAGCTGTGCCACCCTCCCCACACGGAGACCCCGGGGCTTCTCGGGGCATTGAACTCGAACCCCACCCTGGTCCGGCCCCCTCCCGGCCTGTGTCTCCCCCACCCCTCCTCTCGTATCTCTCTGCTTTGGCCACAGAGGCTCTTTTCCTTCCCTGAGCAACGGCCCCACCAGCGCTTCCCAGGAAAGCTGCCCCCACTCCTTTCTCTGATCAGCTAGCCTAAGCCACCTGTCATCAGGCCCCAGCTGCCCTCCAGCCCCTCACCCAGTGGGTCCTGCCCAGGCCCTCACAAAGATCTGAAACCATCTCGTTATTTATTTGCTGCTCTATTGTCTGTCTCCCTACTATGGGGCAAGAGCCTATAGGCGTGGGGGACTGGCAGGCCCAGGGCTCACCACGCCCCGAGATGTGGGGGATGGTCAAGAAAGATCTGTTGGGGGGGCAGGAGGGAGGAGTCTCTTCAGATCACTCTTCTCAAGATAGCTCAGATGGGGGGGAGCCTGGTGGGAAGCGGGTGGGGACCGCTGACTCGAGGTGGTCCCAGGACAAGGCTTCCCTGCACCCTCAGCCGCACAGCTGGCTGTGTGGCCGCGAAAGCCCTCTGCTAGTTCGCAGGGGAGCAACCCGCTTCCCCTCGGCCCTGCCCTGCCGCTGACTGTCATGGTCCCGAGCAGCCCCCCTTTATCACCTCGTGCCACCCCTCCCGGAACCATCCCACGGGAGCACCCGCGGCCCTCAAATACACGGAGTTCGCGCCCACCGAAAGCCAACATCTCCTCGGAGATGCTGTGGCCTCACCTTGCGGCTCCACTTCAGGTCGTGGCTTCTGCAGCCCTGGCCCCGCCCGGAGCTCGGAGAACCGGCGCCACCTGGGCGCCGCCCAGGCCAAGCGCGCGGGCCCCCCCGCGGGCGCGTGCGGAGAAAAGCGCAGGACCTTCCGGTTTCGTAGCTCGTCCCTCTCACGTTTTTATTGTTTATGAATGTTTTACGAGGTACATGACACATTGGTACGAGAAGATAGCTCGCGAGTGATACACGTACATGGGGGTAAGCGCTAAACGTTATCAGGTATTTCTACGCTAGGGGTGCCGGCCAGCAGGTGTGGGGAGCACCGACGTGAAGGGGCGAAGCGGGTGATGTACATAGAAAACGATCCTGGGCGGGTCGCACCCCGCCTAAGAGCGAGAAGACACTCAGCCTTGTTCCCAGCGCCAAGGTGGAGGCCGAGGCCTGCAGGATGTGCTGAATTCCCAAGAGACCATCTTTATTTTATGTGGACTCTCCCAACTTTTAAATATCGGCACCTAATTAATGAAACATAAGGAAGAACGAGACGCGGCGAGACGAGACGACACGCTGAGCCGGACAGCCCCGGGGTGCCGGCCTGCGCCTTCTCTGTGCCACGCACTCGGCCATGGGATTTCCTTCGAGCCACGGCGACCCCGGTAGGCAGCTCGCCGTCTCCTTTGCTGATGAGGACGGGGAGGCTCAGGACCTGGGGGGATTCATCCAAGGTCGGAGAGATCGACTCTCACGACGGTGAAGCCCTGGCTGCTTTGTGTGCGGTGACCTCTCTGTGGCCGCCTTTGAACCAGCGCCGTTCCATGGCGGGAGAGATCTGGTCCAAAGGGTGCCTCTCGGCGGTGAAGAGCTCTCCACCTTCGAGATGCTGCAACCGCTCGGGAGAGAAGGCAGCGGGCTGGGGCGGGGGGCCAACTAGTCTCACGATTTCTGGGGTCGACAAAGGGCAGGAGCCAGGCCCCGGAGGGAGAGATGGGTTCACGGCAGCACAAGACAACACGGGCCCACAGACCGAGGAGGGGAGCGGGGAAATGTCTCTATCAGGTCACCTTATTGATATACAAAAATTCTAATATTTACGGAGCATTCAACTGCACGTCAGAAATCGTTCTAATACGTCTGCATCTAGAGCATTCCGTCTTGTCTTCGCCTCGTGAGGTGGTGCCTTCAGCAGCCCCATTGTACAAATGAGGAAACCGAGGCACAGTCACAAAGCTGGTGGGAGTTCTGATCCGGGCATCCTGAGACCAGAGCTCAGGTTTTAACTTCTGCTCTACAGCGACCTGCTAATGTCCCAATGTCATCAGGATGGGGCATCAGGGTCCTCGAACCTCAGTCTCGCCTGTCATGACATGTGAATGGGGGAGTTACAGGAAAAAACATACTATGCCGGCTTGATCCATGAAGTGGTGTTAACAGGGCCGAGCGCCTTTCCTTAGATCTGGGAAACTTCCCGAAGGAAGGATGCCGACGTCATTTTCGCCACTTCTCCACAGGACTCACAGCGGAGGCCTTTACTTAGCTCTCCCTCAGAGAAGGGAAGAGACGACTCTTCGGTGAGCCATTTCTCTTCTAATTTATTTGGCCGACACGGATAGCAGCTACACAGAGACGGACAGGAGAATCTCCTGCCCCCGAACTTTGTGCAGAAGGACTGTCCCCTAGGACTTTGCACGAGGATGACGAGCCTCTGTGTCTGTGCTGTGCCATCCGGTGGCCGCTAGCCACATGCGGCTATTAAGTATTCGAAATGTGGCTCATGCAGCACAGGAGCTGAATTTTTTATTACAATTAAAATCGGACGTAAAGTTAAGAAGCCGCATGTGGCCAGCGGCTGCCACACTGGCCAGCGTAGCCTCTGGAGGGTGTAGTGAGAAGGTGGGGTAGGCGTCTCGAAGTCTGTCTTCCCCCAGACAACTTTAGAGTCGTCTGTTCTCGAGTCTCTGAAAAGGCTTAAGTCAGAGGAAAGTAGGTTAGGCTCGGCCACAGGCTGGGGTCGCCCCTGTCCCTCCCTTGGCCTTGGGAGCTGAATGGCTCACATTAAAAATCCAAGTGGGTGATAACATATTTTTTGGGGGGCGGGGTGGTGGTCTGAGGGGGGTTCTTGTTAATACCAAAGCAGATTATAACACTGTGTCATTTGAAAACAATTTAATAAGTGTGGGCTCCATTCCCTAGCCGTTTCTCACTGGGCTGCAGGTCCTACAATCTAAAAGAAGAATCTACCCCTACCGCCCTTGCCCGAGCCCAGGGCGAGGATGGAGGAGGGATGATGAACGCATCTTCATCCGCCTCCCGCCGAGACGTGTGCTCCGTCTAGGCTCTCGCTTCCGCAAGCAGACCCCTGAGTTCTGAAACGATGTCTGTCAGCTCGAACGGCAGGGGCATCGAAGCGTCTTCCTTTTCCCAGTGTGGCCGACATTCTGGCTTCTGATCCACGGGCAGAGTGCGGGCGATGCGGGACTGGCATCTGGAAAAGGAAGAACAGGCAAGTCATCCGGGAGGGGAAATTCCTAGAAGACCCCACCTCAAGCGACGCTGCCCACCGCCGTGAGGATAATCCTGCATGGAGGTGGCGATGATGGGAGGAATGAGTCTGTAAGGCAGAGAGCAGGGGTTTATGATGCGGAAGAAGTGTCTTTTACGGTGCTGGAACTTCTTTTTTTTTCCAATTCCCAGATTTGTATTACCTCTAGTGGCTCCACAGAAGCCAATCATCAGGGAAATTCGGTTACTCTGTCTTTAAAATGGTGAATTATTTTTTCATTATCTCAACTGTTATTTAAAGTGTGTGATTAAGCCATTATCAGATTTAAATGTTTGTGGGATTTCAATGTATTACTAGATTACTGGGAAAGATTAAATTGAATTTACTACATTAAAACGTCCAAGAATAGATTAAACAATATTACAGACCGGGATTGACTTTGGAGATCCTGGAGATTTACAAGTGTCCCAGCTTGCTCTGCTCAGGAAAAGGCACTCCAAGGAGAGACCGATTTATAAGGATATATGCAAATAGAGGTTAATAATCATTTCCACTGATGAATAGGTGGGGAAAACTTCCACAAAATTAAATTAAGAGGCTAGCAAGAGTTACTCCCTGAGGAAAACACTTAAATCACGGTTTTTATTAAATGGATTATTCATCAATACCGAAATTAATTATCATATGCAACTAAATCACGGCCTTGTAGGAAAAAAGTTGGGACACCATCATCACACTTTGGCAGGCAGCTACCTCTCAGAGAGATCAGCTTATTTAAAATTGGTCTGGCAAAGATAGTTGCTTTGGCTTTACTTATCTGGGGGGGAAAAAAAGGATCAGAGAGAAAGAAACACAAATCGCAATAAAGAACGAACGCTTTCTCTACTCTCTCGGAGTACATGGTGTGACAGTGTGTACACTGAAAAGAAATACAGACGCTCCTCGACTTACAGCGGGGTTACATCCCGTCAAACCCACCAAACGTCGAAAATATTATAAGATGAAAACGCATTCGAAACACCTAACGTGTCAAACATCGTATCTTAGCCTATCCTACCTTAAACGCGCGCAGAACACTTACAATAGCCTACAGTTGGGCAAAGCCATCTAACGCAAAGCCTATTTTCTAATAAAGTATTGACTATCTTAGGTAGTGATTTTTTTTTTTTTTACATGCATGTCGCTTCTGCACCGTTGTAAAGTCAAAAAAAAACAAAAAACAAAACAAAAACTCAGAAGTCGAACCACCGTCAGCTGGGGACAGTCTGTCCAATGAGTACATCTGGAAGAGACAAATGCGTCCTTCCCCACCCCCTACCCCACCTTCTCTGCATTTTTCTCTAAATCAGTGAACAGTGGTCATGCCCACTCTTTGTCTTCCGTGTAGGACTAACCAGGAAGAGATCCAGAAATGGGACATCCCGGACCTATACCCCAGCCCGATGGCGGAGAAGGTGCCTGACTACAAGACATCATCTTCCCTGGGGAGTTATTAATGGTGAGGGGAGCCCCGCAGGAAAACATACTTCAACTGAACACCTATTTTCTCGTGTGGCTAATTGCCGGACCGGCACGCCGTGCACTCAATCCATCGTACATTACACACAACATTCCAATATATCTTGAGCTCTCTGCATCAGGCCCTGATAATAGCGTCTGTTAACACGCACTAAGTACTATTATGTAGCACATCACTTCATAAATAATAAGATTAGCTGACCTCAGGGCCCCAAGAAGAGTAATGTGTTTAAATGTTCTCATTATTTATTTAAAACAAGAATTAAAGCAACAGAAGCTGCTTTTGACAATCCTCTTAGCATAAATATTAAACTGTTTGCACTGATAAGCCCCACACAGCACTCAAGAACAGAGAGTGCGTTCTGCAGACTACTTAATAATAGGTGTTTGAGACTGTGCCACTTCAGTATTTCTAGAGACAGTCTCTAAATCACAGGAAAGGGGTGGGGGAGCGGGGGAGGTGAATTAATATTCAAGGGAAGCTGCGACTAATTACAAAGGAACTCTGCAAAGCTTTTACAACTGTGCTTTCTTCTCTGCCTCAGAATTGTGATGTTCAATTTGCTAGGTGGGAAAAGTTATTCCAGACTGAGCGTTTCAATCTTGCGGCCGAGGGATGATGTGTGCACACATTATCCTGGTTGGCAGATTAAAGGGCTGTGATGAGTGTTGATCCACCCAGAATATCATAAGGCTGGTAAAAAGTCAATAGAGATGCTTTTTCACCTGTCAAATGGGTTTTGCCCCATCACTTTGAGAAAGGACTAAAAATAGGCACGGCCGAGGTTTGCTTAGGCCACGCTGGACAAGCTGCCCAGCCCGCCAGCTGTTCTTTTGGGGGGAAGATGATGCCTGGTTTTCTGCCGTTGTTCTTCTCCCCAAGGACTGGCCGATGTGGGAACTACCTCCTTTCCCGCAGGCCCCGAGAGGCTCAGAGCTGTGCATATTCACTGCCTCCCTCTAGGCTGGAGGTAGATCCCCGACTGGGTGTCTTCAGGATCTTCATTTAGATCTTTCTAGGTGGCTTGAAAGTCTTGCCTTAGTGCCCAGATCCCCTGGCCCATTTCCAAACGCTAGTGATTGGGCTCCGTGGAGGGCGCGGGGTTTGAAGTGCTGGATTTACCTCCGAGAAAGGACAGTCCCCACTCCCAACTCAGATGACATTGTCTGATTCAACTTCATGCCAGACTGTGGCATGGAGAGGGCTGAGGATTACTGGAAGGCATAACCCCTGTGGGGTTTTAACTTCTCGGGCTCAGTCACTCATTCTGCCTCTCTTCATCCCCACATCCTCAGATGGGGAGCTGGGAGGTGGAGGCAAAGTGTGTCCCCGGCACGCTCCGAGCTGCTCCTTCCTGGAGGCCCGGCATCTTGAGCGAGTTCCTTATCCTCCCTGAACTTTATGTCTGGGGAATGATGATGATGATGATACTGATGATATCAATAGCACCTTAATGGGGTGGTTATGAAGGTTAGTGAATTAAGACACGCGAAGTACTTGGAACACTGCCTGGCACATAGCGCTCGAAAATTATGAAATACTATCATCGCTATCGTTACTTCTGCAAGTGTCAGTGACGATGAGAGATGCCACCGAGAGAGCCGCCTGTCGTCCCTGTGTCCACCCCCTGCCCTCACGCCAACCGCGTGGGTGGCCTCTGGTCTGGCTCATTCTTGAAGATGCTCTGGAGATACAGAAGCAGCTCCTTGTGACTTGAATCAGATTGAGCCAGTGGCTGAATCCTGTCACAACGTGACATCCCAGGATGCAGAGGCTCACGTATTCCAGCTGTCACAACTTTCAGCGACAGGCTGAACGGCTCAGATTCAGGAAGACTCAGCGGTTGATCCCGAAGACCTGGGATTAACCGAAGGGGCTGTCGGTGGACTTGCCAAGCGGTGGCTGTTCCAGATTGATTTGGCATTTTATAGGAAATAAAGTTGGATTTTTCTGAGCACGCATATTCTACCGTCCCTTGCAAAGAAAAGGGGCCGCGAGTTCTCTTACAAAACGTTTTAAGAACACTGACGGGTGGACGTTTGTTGTCTCGTGTCTATTCCCACCTTTCCTACAAACTGGATTCTAATTTTCCTGGGGAATCCGTCCGTCCCCATGCTCAGCCCCGTGGCTGGGATGGAGACCAGCTCAACCTACCCAGCACTCCCACCCTCCCAGCCATCTGGGGCAGGAGCGAGAGTAACACCCAGAGGACTGGTATGGGAGGAGCGAAAGGGAAAGAATTTCTAATCTCCTGGTCTGTGAACTCCTAGCACGTGTGACCTGGGACTGCCACAGTCCTGCTGTCACCACGCAGCCAGGGCCTGGATCCTGGGAGGCGCTGTGAACGGCCGGATCGAGCCGCACTTTAAGCTCGGTACGCGGAGACTTTTCAGGCGCGTGAGCGGGTGTCGTCTGAGACAGGTCTTTCTGTCACTTGCAACCCGAAGAGTCCCGGCTGATAGGCTGGCCATGCTTCCCACCTCTCGGTTACTTCTCGCCCTTCGCAACCTCCATCCCATGGCCCTGCCTGCCAAGTGGATGCTGATGGTCCTCTCTCCAAACCGAGATGCGAGATGCGAGATGCGGCTGTGGATACACTGCGGTGTGTAGAGAGAGCCTCTGGGTATGAAGGCATGAAGCGATGGCTTTTGTTTTTGGTTCAAGGGATATTCCTCTTGGAGATAAATTTCAAAGGGAAAAAAAAAAAGTGCCAGTGTCACACCCACAGTGGCCTCTGGATGAGAATAAGCCAGTTTTAATGACCAGAGCTGGATAATCATTCTAAAGTTAAAAAAAAAAAAATTTCCCCTAAACTCGGTGTTCCCCAAGGGTAGCAGATTATTCTGAATCCTGCTAAATGAACAGTATGAGACTGACGGCTTCCCCTTTCCTCCTATCGTAAAGAAAAATCCTATTTTTAATGCTTTGGGCTAACAAATAAACTCGGATCTACCCAGAAACCCCTGCTCCTTTCCGGAAGCGTTGCGAGGGAGCAAAGGAAAATAGTATATCTCCCTCCCAAATTCGCGTTATTTCAATTCAGAGAACTCTTTAAGTCACCCCCAGACCTCTTGCTACTTAGGATTGATTCGCCCTGAATGATCTAGTGACAGAACCGAAAGCGAGTGAAGCGTGTCATGCCGGCTGGCCCGAGAGCAGATGGTCACGGTTCCCCCTTCTCCCCCCACAGGTGTAGCTCATGTGGGGACCCCTGGCCACCGATCGCCCCAAGGGCGACACTCAGAATCGGAGGACCAGGACTGCAGCTACATTAGTGGACACTGGCCGCCGTGCTAAAATCAACCACTTTAGCTAAAGTGTGTGTTAATTACGGGTGTGCGAACAGTCAATAAAAGGTTAATGCAAAAGTCAAAGGAGAAATTTCTTCCTCATTGCATCATTTCACAGACTAAATGACGAACATTATACTCCGTGTTTTTAATCAATAGGTTTTACAGTAATG